CCAGATTCATTGAAGGGATGCTGTAAGATTCTCTCAGAAGCTCTCTCTTCATTTTGAGACCTACTTTTCCTTATTTCACTGATGTTTTATTTGTAATTTAAGACAGGAACCACTGCGACATCTTTAATCATAGATTCTTTCATATTAATCTGATTGAGAACATAGGATAGAAAATGAGTTCCTGGAAGAAGAATGAGTGAAGATTTAAAACAGTCTGCAGTATAGAGTAGGGTGTGCAGAATAACTTTGATGATGTTATAATCTATGCTGCTAAAGAATTCCCATTTTTCACAATTATCTATGGAAAAATGCCCTTCAGGGAAGATGTGTGCAATTGCTGGATGCATTTTACATTCTTCATGGTTAAGAACAAATCCTTTCACTGATGATGTCAATATGACACCATCACCAGCCTGAAAATCTTCTGACATTAGAAATCCATGAATACTGGAAGCGGTTGACTAGACTAGAAGGTGAGTCAAGAGACCATGTTCTACGTTGGCATCGGCAAAATCCAAGCATCCAAAGCTCCTAATTCAAGTTGAGCTTCTCGTTAATCTAAATGTTAATGTAAACTTAAACTATGTCACGTAGATTTGAAACTGTTTTCTATGAATATCACATAACTGAGTTCTCTTACAGAATAATCCAAATGGACAACCTTTCACATCAACCTATTTCAACCAAGTGAAAACATGACTATCCTTTTTTTCCCTGTTTCTCTTATTGCTTTTCTGTTTTGCTTTATTTTCAAACATACAAAAACATTTTCTTCATTAATTCATTCATTCTGCAGAGAAAAAAATAGAAAGAAGCAGAGATAACTTCAGTGCTCACTTGTTAAAAAGTGAACAATACTTTTTTTGTTGGATTATATTTGTACGTGTATATTGTTTATGTATGCATATAAACACATACACACATATAGGCATACATATCTCTGATGGAAAATGCAGTTTACAAAGGCACATTACATTAGGTCAATATAAACTATCTTGTAATGATGATGATGACAATAATGCCATCTGTACACTGTTTCCAGACACTCATGCAATCAATGAACTTTATAAAATCTTCATAGTTTGATCCCTAAAGCAACAGGGAAAAGGAAAAAGGTCTTGTTCTGTAATATAAGTTAAGATAATAAGGGAAGAAGATTCTAAACTACTTCTCAAGGTTCTTAAGGAACCATTGTTAAGGCCAACGAAATTGAATATAGGACCCAATTGATGAGAACAGGAGGTGGGTCAACAAGTGTGGCCCAGGTGGAGCCATTATTCTTCAGAATGCCAGAATGCATTAAAATATGAAATAGGAAGGCACATGGGTTATGCAATCAGTCACATCCATCACCTCTGCCACTTTTGTCTTGCATAGAGACTAAATTCAACTTCTATGCCTCAGTTTCTTTAACAACAAAATGGCAAACTTGATTTGATTCTTTTTTTTTGCAGAATAGTAATGAGGCTTAATGTTTAACTGATACAGACAGTTTAATTCATAGTCAAAGGCATGAAACATGCACCCTTCTTCATTTCAGCAACAGCAGGGAATAAATCTGATCAGTCAGTATAAAAATTCTCTCTTGGAATAATGCTTTCAGCAAACACTCGGTTCTTAAATTTAGGATTCCATTCTGTTTGGAAAAGACAAAGACATAAAATACCAATTAGAAATGCATCTTTTATCAGAACTATTTTTCCTTGGAAGACTGGCAAGGTAAAACTAAAATATGCCACCCCTGCAAGCTACTTTATGACTCTCCTATTGTTTTTATCATCCCTTCACAGTTCCAAACTTTGTTCCTCAGAAAGTTAGACAGCTGAACTACTAATTACCAGTTCTCACAAAATTATTTTAATTTTCTGAATAAAAATATCAAATTTTTGCTAAATTTCAACAGGGAGATGGTTGTTTTTTTTGTATTTGTATTCGAACTTCATGTCAATTTGTTATAGCCTCCTTTGTACTATTTGTCAAGAAATAGTTTCACAGAAAGTAGGAAGCCAATAGTTGCATATTGATAGTATATGAAAAGTCTCTTCATGAAATCATGAGGGTTTTGCACCAAAAATATACCTACTATAACAAATCATGTTGTTGGAAGTAAAATGAGAGAACTTGAGAGAAGGCCAGGATTTAGTCTTTTGTTCCTTCGTTCCTTTGTTTGTTTGTTTGTTTCTGAGACAGGGTTTTAAGTATGACAACCCTATCTCCAACTTTTGTGTACTCAAAGGTGACCTTGACCTTTCATCTGGAAATTCACTGAGTACTAAGATTACAAGTGTACCCTACCTTATGTAATTTATGAAGTTCCAAGAATCAAGCCTAGTCCTTCATGCATAATAGGAAGTACTCTAACAATTGAGCTACAGTCCTAGGTATTTAGACACTTTTTTAAAAAATATATAATTACTTCAATTCTCCTTTCTCTTTTTATCTTCCAGTTCCTCCCATGTCTCATACCTCCTCCCTCCTAAATTTATGGTCTCCAATGCTTTAACCTCTAATCAACATATAACTACAACCTTCTGAGCCTGTACATTGTTACCTGGATGTGTATATTTCTAAGACTGACTACTTTACTGGGTTTTGGATAAGCAATGAGGAGCTTATCATTAGGGAAGACAAAAATCTGCTGCTCTCAGCAATGGTTGCTTGTCTGTAGCTCATGATCTAGTATTGGTACCCTGTAAGACTTCTCTTATCTACTTTGGAATGCCAGTTATTGTTGGAATTACTCAGCACTTGTTTAGGTAGCCACATTGCTAAGATTTCATGGGTGTGGCTTCACTGTCATGGCTAGAAGATGCAATCTCGGAGCAGATTGACAGTTCCTTTGACTTTTAAATACCCGAGGCCTCACTCTCTCTCTCTTTTGCTAGAATTAGTTAATATTTCTTTGTATTTGAAAATAACTTGGTATAGAAACAATATCATGGGATTTTTCTTATGGGTCTGCATTCTGCAAGAAAGCAAATTGAAAATTGGGCATTGAGATTTCCCCTTGAAATTTTATATCTGCACATATTAATATATCTTTATATCTTTATATATATATATATATATATATATATATATATATATATATATATATATATTCATTAAAATGTATCCACTTTGTATCCCAGCGATAGCCCGCACCCTCATCCCCTCCCAATCTCATCCTCCCTCCTGCCCTCATCTCCTCTCATACCCCTTCCCCAGTCCACTAATGGAGGAGGACCTCCTCCTCCTCCATCTGACCCTAGCCTATCAGGTCTTATCAGGACTGTCTTTCAGAATCTTCCTCGGTGGCCTGGTAAGGCTGCCTCCTCCCTCAGGGGGAAGTGATCAAAGACTCAGCCACTGAGTTCATGTCAGAGATAGTCCCTATTCCCATTACTAGGGAACCCATTTGGAGACTGAGCTGCCATGGGTTACATCTGTGCAGGGGTTCTAGGTTATCTCCATGAATGGTCCTTGGTTGGAGTATCCGTCTCAGACAAGACCCTTGGGCCCAGATTTTTTGGTTTTGTTGTTCCTCTTGTGGAGTTCCTGTTCCCTCCAGGTCTTTCTATCTCCCCCTTCTTTCATAAGATTCCCTGCACTCTGCCCAAAGTTTGGCTATGAATCTCAGCATCTGCTTTAATACCCTATGGGTAGACTCTACCCAGGCCTCTCTTCTGAGATGTTGGCTAGTCGGCGTGAAGGGTCTGGCTCAATTCCCAAATGCCTGAACCTCAGGTAAAGGGGTTATATTGCAGATGTATCCATAAGGAATGGGGTCCTCTTCTCTGTTTTTATTTGCATTTTGACGAATTATGGTTTTATATAATGGTCTCCTACTGCTTTAAGAAAAGAATCTTTTTATATGAGTTGTTAGATATCTGCTTCTCTGTAGTATAATGATAATTATTTAAAGTATCTACTGTTAGGAATTATACTGCTTTAGGAAAGTAGTGATACTGGGTTCTCTAAGATCTGGCGCCTTAGTAGCAATTTTATTTGTTTGTTTTTAATTTAATTTAATTTATATATTTATTTATTACAATTTATTCACTTTGTATCCCAGCTGGAGCCCCTCCCTGGTCTTTTGGCCCTTTCCCTAGTCCCCTGATAGGGGAGGACCTCCTCCCCTTCTAAATGACCATAGCCTATTAGGTCTCATCAGGGCTGGCTGCATCATCTCCCTTTATGGCCTGACAAGGCTGCATCCACCAGGAGGAGGTGATCAAAATGCAGAATAAAGAGCTTTATGAGTCAGTGAGGTTTGGATACTCCTTCAAAATTGGTTGGCTCATCATTGTAGAGAAAAAATTATATCCAGTCAGAATGTTTGATTCAATGGTTTTTTTTTTGCCTATTTTCTTTTTTTCCTGTATTAGACTGATAAATTACAACTGTAGTGTAGATTTCTGGTATTTATGTACCTACTTGTATATTTTCATGGAAAAAAGTACTGGGAATTGAGCCTGAACCTTCATGTGTACTAGCCAAGCATCCTACCACCAAACTACCATCTCAGCCCTGATTTTCCTGTGTTTTAGGTCTGCTTAGCTATTGAGAGTTCTAACAAATTGATAATTACAGCTAACTTCAAAAGAAAAGTGAAAAAGGCTTCTAATTTGAGCGTAACTACTTTTATGCAAAAGGTGTTCCCAATAACATTCATATGACATGCTTTCAACCACCAAACTCACTGAATATTGACAAAAAAAAAAAAAAAAGAAAGAAAGACTAATAAATTCAGGGGTGAATAAACTGGAACAAAGGTACATACATAAATACACGCTCCAGGATAAAAACATTACATGTAAGCATATATATATATATATATAGTTGCCTTATTTTACCCATAATTTATATTTACTAATGACATAGCATTGAGTTACTGTTCTGTCATTTCCAATTACAAAATTCTACCGAGAACATACAATAAGTTGACATATTTAACTCTATATTTGTCTTCATGAGTATATTGTAATTTAAATGTGTAATCTCTGTATTTTTCCCTCCAGCTATGAAGAACCATCACCAATAAGGATACAGAAATTATATGTTACTACTTTGGATTCTCTCAGGAAGAGAAGAGCCAACTAGATACACGTAAGGTAGGTTCAAGTCCCTTGTCACCTCTGTTCTGTGAACCGGCATACTAGCTGTGTATGTTAAGAACAAGATGAGGTTGAATATGGTTAAAGAACATACAAACAGAAAACCAGTAAGCATTTGAAAAAAAAAAAAAAAAAAAAAAAAACACAGTTTGTCACGTTTAGTATCAATATTGGGCATACTTGATTACCAGGTTCATAAAGTGCAGGGCAGCAGCAGGCTTTCCCACAGTAGCAGTCCTGAAACCCTTCAGAAGTGTACCAGATCCTCCATCTTCGTGGGAGCAACCCACTGCGAAGGTCCGGAGAAAGTTAGGGAATATCTTTGAAATTGACAAAATCCTTCTCCAGGGATCGTAAATCCATGATTAACTTATATTGACCAAGAGAACGGAGAATAATGGAAGGATGGTAAAGCAGGGGAGATACTGAAAGTTATCATCGTATGGAAAAATTAGTATAAGACATAAATATTACTCTTTGTCATCAATGAAGATTGGGAGAGACCTGACAGAAAGCAGAAGGTCTCTCACATGATTCCACCATGGTTTTTATCACTTACTGCCATATTAAGAGAATTTGGGGTTGGTGGTTATAGAGACAGCCAGGGAACTGAAATGCTCCCTCTTCTAAAAAGAAATCCAGATCTTTGGCATATTTTAACCAGATTCCTGCTACATGTGATTTTTTTTTCGTACTATTAAAACTTTTCTCTGTTACTGCATAGCTGATGGCAGCAGACTAGACCACATAAATTATTTTTTATTTTATGACATACAAATAAATTACTATTCAAAGCATTTGTGGAGGAAACAGTTTATAAATACAGTTAGTGACCTTAACTAATCCCTTAATGTACCAGTTTCGATGAGAATTTGAGGATCTACTTTATTAAATCATATACATGTTTGGATTTTATTTGTAACTAAAAAGGAATCCAAGAAAAATATATATGGAAAATAACAAAAAAAAAAGAGTAATAAATTTTAAACAAAGCCAAATAATAGTGTGAATCAAGGATGATAGACCAAGAAAAGAAACTCTAGGAAGTGCCAGGACACAGTGAACACTTATCTGACACAGCCTCTAGGTCAATTGTTTTCAATATTCCTAATGCTTCAATGCTTTATTATGGTTCTTCATGTTGTGGTGACCTCCAACCATAAAATTATTTCTTTATTACTTCATAAGTGTAATTTACCTATTGATATAATTCATCATGTAAATATCTGATAAACAGTATATCTGATATGTGAACCCTAAAGGGGTTGACCAACAAGTTAAGAGCCACGGCTCTAGGCAAAACAGAACATACTTATTTCATGTTTGTGTTTCTTTAGATAGATAAGGTTAAAAATTTTCAAGAGAAAGTTACATTCACTTTTGGTAATTTGATTAAATTAAATTTTTGTTTATACTCCTAATTAGGCTAAAATATCAGAAGACAAAAATATAATGAATTGCACCACTTGGCATTTCATTACAGAAAGACAACTTTTCAATTTACTACTCTATTGTAGACACATAACTTGAGTAATAACTACTCATCAGAAACAGACAAATCTACTTTCAGGATGTGGGATATGTCTTTAATATAATGTTTTTCTCCCCTATCAGTGGACTTGGAAAGGGGCAGGGAGGAGATGAGGGAGGGAGGGAGGGTGGGACTGGGGAGGGAATGAGGGATACAGAATTAACAAAATGTAACTAATGAGAAAAATAAAATTAAAAAAAATAAAATGTTTAAATTAAAAAAATGAAATAAAACTTAATAGTAAATATCAAAAAAATATATATATATAATGTTTTTCTTCACACATTGTAGCATGTATAGTATAACACTTGTAAACATGTATATCAAATACAAGTTCAGCATACACAACGTAAGTTGTGTGACAAAAGTGTAGTTACAGGGCCACTGGAAAGTTGACTATTAGCAAGGTTTCCTTATGTATCTTTCAAGTATATCAAATGGCTCCTAAATTGATCAGAACTTTGTTTTGACACTCAAATATATAAATCTGAAAGTGATTCTGAGTACTTATGATTAAAGATCCTATTCTCTTTCTTTGAGAATAGGATCTATAAAAGATCCTATTCTTTGTTATTACTCACCAACGACATGGCTGCTCATTTTAGATGACTCTGCTCCTACAGAGAATATAAACATCTGACATTTGAAAAAGAACAATAGAACCAAAAAATCTGGGCACAGGGGTCTTTTCGGATACTGATACTCAACCAAAGACCATGCATGGATATAACCTAGAACCCCTGCTCAGATGTAGCCCATGGCAGCTCAGTATCCAAGTGGGTATCCTAGTAAGGGGAACAGGAACTGTCTCTGACATGAACTCAGTGGCTGGCTCTTTGATCACCTCCCACCCATTCCAGCTTTGTTGACTACAGCACACTGCTCCCACCTGAGCTGGTTCCCAACTCTGTCTGCAGCACTTCTTGGCAGGAATCCCTCTGCTCTGCCAGCTTCCACTTCTTGGTGCTTCCAACACAATCTAAGCTTCACCTATACAACATCATGCAACAGCTTCTCAGCGTTTTCCTGAAGAAAGTTGCCTGCCACATGCGTCAGTAGCTTTTCTTAACCCTGATGGAAGATTAAATGATGGCTTTATACCTGTGTCATTTTCGTAAAGCCAGAATTATGTGGCTAAAGCTACCAATTTCTGTGGCCTTGTAAGACTGCAAACTGGTTTCTTCCAAGACATTCATTCATAGAAGTTTTGAATTATTGATGGTTTCCTTTGTTGAATAAGGTTTAAGTTTCAGAAGTTGGAAGCTCAGCTGGATGTCGTCTTGCCCTGACAGTGCCACTTCTTTTCTTACATTTCTCCTAGAACTTTTTCCTTAAACCTCTCATCACTTTGAGCACAGGACTCAAATATTAAATGTCCTGGTGCTCATTCTCCTTCTCAAACTGTACATGTTGTAATGCTTTTGCCTTGTTTGCTCTTTTTTTATTGTAGATTAGCTAGAGAATGATCATTAATAATTGACTTCAATCAATTCTAGACTGTATTATTAACAACAAAAAAATCTTCAATTTAGCCTCATGCAGAATTTTTAGGACAATAGAAGAGAGTAGATACATTGTTTGGCAAAATGCCACAAGAAGGTCTCTATGCCAACCGCTAATATTCCTCTATTCCAAAACCTCTTTATTTGGGTCTCCATAGTCCAGACTGTTCTCAGAATTACTGTTTTCCAAGTACCTGCCAGAATGATCCCCAAACCCCAGTGACAGCACTCAATCACTTTTCTAAATCAAATTTCCATCTTCTGTAAGTGAGGGCACAATGAAACCACCAAACTAAACCACTCCAAGGGTAGGAAACAAAAACAAACAAAGGTTTATTGTGCTTCAGTCTTCCAAGTTCATATCTTAGGGGTGGCAAATGGAAAGGCGAAACGTCAGAAAAGCAAACAGATCTAATATTAGCAGGGTAGGGTCTTTGAGCTAAGAAATGCTGGCCAGATTAGTTGAAAACCAAGTGTCCTTGCCCATGGTTATTGACCTTTGGGGGACAATTAAGGGTGGATCCTGGTAATCAGAAAGCCACCATAACAGTTGTGTGTAACAGATGGTTAACAGAAATCCACCTGTGAAGAGCCATAAAGTCATTCTCCTCTGAAAAGATACAAACATTACCTGTAGGATTACAACCTTAAGATCTATGTATTTCTTCAAATTAAGCAAAAGAAGAATTGTACTAATTATAAAACTTTAGTAACCCTAGCTATAAGTCATTGAACTAATGGCATAATCATTGATGTGTATATATGACCATCTAACTTGAAATTAACCTGGTTTTTCCTTTACCCGTGTAGTTTGAGATCTTTTTGTGTGCATGTCAGTATATATGTTTCATGTATCAAGGTGGATTATGCAAGTGTATGTGCATGCATGTGATCGTCAGGGGTCCACTTAGTTTGTCTTCTTCAATCCCTATTTTATTTTGAGACAGGGTTTCTCCCTGAACCTTGTTCTAATGCTTGAGCTAGACTGACTGGGAAGGGGGTTCTAGGGATCCATTTGGCTTCTTGTAGCAGATGCTAGAAAAAGAAAGTAAGACTACAAGCACTTTACTAACTGCCGTCTTCCAGACGCCATGTGATATCCAATACAATGTAATTTCTTTAGCATATTATGAAATAAAACAATAACTATTGGGTAAAAAAAAAATGCTCGATTTATTCCAGGTAGATCTATTCTAAATAACATAGCAAGTTCAAGGGTACTCAATTTCTGGGCATTAATAAATCACTACAGAATAAAATAACATAATGGGGATGGCCATTCTAAATTCTATTTAACTTAAGATATATAATATTTCTGATCAAATCTAGAATTACTTAGTGAAATAAATGCAAAATAGTTTCTACAATAATATGTGAATATTTACAGAAATATCCAAAGATATTGTGCAAAACAGCTTATTAAAAATCCACACATCCAAAAACTTTTATTTTTATATATCATAAAATATATCCACTTACTTGAACAGGGACCTAGCTCTTCCTTGTCTGATATCCACAAATATTAGCTTGCAGTTTTATTTCCTATTTACATTTCTTTCTAGTAGGAATTTGATTTAGCAATGCTGCCACTTTTTCTTCTTCTTAATAGAAGAAATGAGGATTATTGTGATCTGGAAGATCATTAAGTAGACAGGACAACATATTGAAACCTGTTATATTCCAAATAGCCACATCAGGTTCCTGGTTCACATACATAAAGCAGACATGCACATAAGTAAGTTTCAGTGGCTGTTACTTTATGATTAGCATTTTTATTTAGAAACAAATTCATTCTATTTATTCTTGTGAATATATGTATGTATATATATATACATATATGTATGTGTATATAAATTAAGTTTTCCAGTAATTAAAATGAGATAGGTAGTCTTAAGTAAAACGATAGTATGTTCCCCAGCCAGAAATAACACATACAAAGAATGCTATTATCACACCCTTAGTCC